TTTTAAGCAGGTAAATGGAAAGTACATTTATTTCATCATGGATATAAATTTAAGTACTTAAGCAATCACAGTAAAGATAAATGCACTAAATTGCCCAATTAAAAACCAAAGATCATCATACTAGAAAACATAGCAAATCTAGTTTCACAGCATTCATAATGGAAACATTTAAAATATAAGTTTATAAGAAAACTTGAAAATCAATGGATTAAGGCCCATGAATAAGACAAAACAGAACATAAAGCAAAAAATAAAAAGTGTGACAAGTGACAAGCAAGGTCACTACAAATAAAGTTTCAATTCTTTAAAAAGGCTCAATAATTCTGAAGTTACATACACCTAAAAGATAACCTCAAAAAATAATATAAAAACTTAGGCATCTACAAGGAAAAGTGACATATCTACCATAATAGTGGGACATGTGAGCAGAGCCCTCTCATTAATTGATAGATCAAACTGACAATGAGTCAAATAAGTACACAGAAGATCTGAACAATTCGTATAACAAACTTGAATACAATCGTGGATACAATATTTGACCCAACAAGGAAAACAATTTTATTTAGGTATGCATGGGACATTTATAAAAACTGATTACATGCTAGGTCAAAAATTAGACTCTGGCCCTTCCCTGATCACAATGTAATTAGGTTGTAATTAAAAAACAGTAATTAAAAATTCCCTTGTGTTTGTAAATTGAAAAGTCCATTTCTTTCTCTTTTTTTATTTTTATTTTTTTATTTTATTTATTTATTTGTTTTTTTCATTTCTTTCTTTTTAAGATCTCAAGATTTTATTTGACACAGAGAGAAAGAGGGAGAGAAAGCAGGAAGAGTAACAGAGAAGGAGACACAGATTCCCCACTGAGCAGGGAGCCTGTCCTGGACTCCATCCCAGGACCCTGGGATCATGACCTGAGCTGAAGGCAGACACTCAACTAACTTAAGCCACCCAGATGCCCCTAAAAAATGCATTTCTAAACAACTCATTGGTCAAACAAATTATAGCAGGGATTAGAGAATTATTTCTGAGCAATAACAAAAAGAATCACAATTAGGAGGTATTCATAATACTTGAAGCAGTTATGAAGGTGCTTAGAAGGAAACTAATTGCCTTAAACGTACACATTAGAAAAAAAACCCCTCAAGCCTAATGGAATAAATAGCCAACTTAAGTTTTAGAAAAACAAATTCAAAGACGAAAATAAGGGAATGTATGAGTTGAGATAAAATAGATTGCAATAGAAAAGCTCAACAAAGCCAAGAGTTCTCTGAAAAAAGTAATAAAATAGAAATACCACAAGGACATGGAAACAAAGGAAGGCACAAATAAAATTATTAGAAATGTTAAAACAGAAGCATAACTACAACTACTTCAGAGACTAAAATATATAGAAGGATAGTACAGACAACTTTATATTAAAGTTGATACTAAAATTGCTAACTGAAGACATGGATAAATTTCTAGAAAAATTTACTTACAAAAATGGATTTTACAAGAATTAGAATTAGAATTCTATGACCATTAAAAGGTTGAATTAACACTTACATGCACACATACATGCACACACACACACACACACACACACACACACACAACAGATCTAAGTAAACTTCCATGCAAGTTTCCATCAAATGCTCAAGGAACACGTATTTCAATCATACACAAAATCTCTCAGAATGGAAAAAAAATGACTACTCCTATTTTATGTCGTGAGTCTAGCACAGTCTCCCTCCATAGCAAATGTGGAAAATGGTTGTATAATGGGAGTAAAACCATAGGCCAATGTCACTATGAGTATTCACACCAAAAAAAATCTCAACAGAATATTAGCAAACAAAATCTATCAATGTATATGAAAGAGAATTCATCAAGACCAAGTTGGCTTATTCTAGAAACACAAGGTTAGTTTAATGTAGGAATATTAATAACTATTTTCATCATTAACATAGTAAAACAGGAAAACCATATAAACTTTTAAGTGCAAGCAGAAAACCTTTTAATGAATTTTGGCACTGAGTCATAAGAAAAATTCACTACCAACTTGGAATAAAAGGGAACTTCCTTAACTGGGTAAAGGTTAATTAATAATATTCATAATTCATAATATCTATAACAAATATTCTACAAAATAGTGGAAAATAAGAGTCTCCCTTTTAAGATCAGGAATATGATAAGGAGGCCTGCTTTCACCCTTCTAGCCATACAGTAAGAATACTGAATATTCTAGCCATGTAGTAAGAATGAAAGAAACAAAAGGCATAGTTACTGGAAAGGGATAAACAAAACCACCATTATTTGCAGGTGATGATTTGTAAAAATTCCAAGAGAATATATAAATAAATTATTAGAATTAATGTAAGAATTTAGCAAGGTTGTTGAATACAAAAATCAATATCCAAAAACAAGTTGTGTTCTATACAAACAGGAAGTTCTGGTTAGAAAAATGCAACTTTAAAAAAATTGAGTATAATAGTAACAAAATTATAAAGCATCTCAGAATAAGTCTAATAAAAATGTCTCGGTACTTTTATGAAAAAATTATTAAATTTTATTGGTAGACATGTAAGAAGACCTAAATAAATGGAAGGTTATATATTACTCTTGAGTTAAAACACTCTCCAATTTGATTTAAATATTTAAACAAATTATAAAAATCCCTACTAGAGTTTATTTTCTGTGGAATTTGACAAATCAATTCTAAAAATTCATATGGAGTTAAAATAGGCCCAATATATAGCTAGGATACTCCTGAGTAAGGACAAGAGTTGAGGTCAGAATGATGCAGGTACTTGCACTGTCCCTATCAAAATTTGCAAAATGAGATCATAGTAATAAAGATAATGTAGTATTTATTTAAGTGCACAAACAGATCAGCTGAACAGAATAGCCAGCTGGGAAGAAACCTACATACATGAAAACTGATCTATGACAAAGTAGGCATTATGGGTAAATATATTTTTCAATAATTGGGTCTGATAAAATTAATTATTCACATCAAAAACAAAATTGGATCCCTATCTCAAAGTATATACAAAAACTAATTCCAAATGAATTAAGGACTTAACTGTAGAAGTCAAAATTATGTGGAACTTTTGGAAAACAACCCATTTCTTAAAATGATCTAAAAATTCACAAATCCATTAAGGTAAGAGCTGATAAATTTGCCTACAATACTAAGGATGCCAGTTATCAATAGAGCTCATGAGAAGGGAAAAAGCTGCCTAAACTGGGATAAAATCCTTTCAATATATATGTTGAAATGTAAAGATAATGTCCTAGTAATTAAAATGTAATGAAATCAGGGATCCCTGGCTCATTGGTTGGCTCATTGGTTTAGCACCTGCCTTCAGCCCAGGGCGTGATCCTCGAGTCCCATGTCGGGCTCCCTGCATAGAGTCTGCTTCTCCCTCTGTCTGTGTCTCTGCATCTCTCTCTCTTTGTGTCTCTCTCTTTTTTTTTATAAATTTATTTTTTATTGGTGTTCAATTTGCCAACATATAGCATAACACCCAGGGCTCATCCCATCAAGTGCCCCCCCTCAGTGCCCGTCACCCAGTCACCCACACCCCCCGCCCACCTCCCCTTCTACCACCCCTAGTTCATTTCCCAGAGTTAGGAGTCTCTCATGTGCTGTCTCCCTTTCTGATATTTCCCACTCATTTTTCTCTTTGTGTCTCTCATGAATAAATAAACAAATTCTTTTAAAAATGTAATGAAATCATATAAATTATTATGAAACTTAAAATAACTCAAAAATGGGTAAACATTTCATTTAACACAGAGGGAAGAAAAATTCCTCATTAATAACTGACTATATGCACCAAAGTAATCAATGAAATGCAAATTGGAAGCACAATGGCATAATTTCACACCTACTAGATTGACGAACTAAAAAATCAGATTATATTAAGTGTTAGTGAGGATGTAGCACAATGAGAGTTTCCATCAACTGCTGGTGGAGGCTCAGATTTGAGCTATCTTTTCAAAAAGCATTTAGGCATTTCCTAGTAAAGTTGAACAAATGTATATTCTACTTTTAGTCAAAAGGTCATATCCTAGAGGAATTTTCATTTATGTGCATCAGAGTGGTGCATCCTAAGCAATAATATACATACAGTGACTACAGGATCTTGTTAAAATGCAGATAATGATTTAGGAGATCAGGAAGCAGGCCCCAGATTCTGCATTTCTAAGTAGCAGATTTTAGGGTACTGTAATGTTTTAGTTCTTGACTTGTGTGACGAATACATTGGTATTAGTTTCATTTTATTCACGCTCATGTTCAAATGGGTTTGAGAAACTATCCAAAACAAAGAGCATCCTTTGGGAACAGGATGTATATGATGGAAATCAAAGAGCCCAGTAGTCTGAAAAACCAGTCAAATCCCAATGCTATCTTTTAGTAGCTGTGTTTTTTTATCCAAATTATTTAACCTATCCAAGCTCACATTTCCTTGCTTATAAAATAAAGATAATAATAATTACATTTGTGTGTTTGTTATGAAAAGTAAGAGATAATTTACATAAAGTCTGAACATCAGAAACATATGTTCAAATAGTTGTTGCTATTGTTTTTATTGTTTGTTCCCCAATATTAGATTAACATCTTATTTGAGGATATCTTGATTGGTGAATGAAAAGCTTCTATGGAAATTATAATCCAGATAATCAATTTGTAGTTTAGTTAATTTAAAGCTAAATACTCTCTTTTTAAATTTAAAAATTTAAACAAATTTTATTTGTTTATTTGAGAGAGAGAGAGAAAGAGCATGAGCAGGGGGGAGGCAGAGGACAGAGGGAGAAGCAGACTCCTCACTGAGCAGGGAGCTTTATCCTGGGCTGCATCCCAGGATCCCAGGACCCATACCAGGACCCATGACAAGGATCATGACTTGAGCTGAAAGCAGACACTCAATTGACTGAGCCACCCAGGCATCCAAAGCTAAATACTTTTAAAAAGTACTAATTATCCTTGTATTCAATATTACATTACTTACATAACTTTATAATACCACAGGAAACAAATATGGGAACTATCCACAAACAAATTACGTTCTTCTTCTGAATCCTGAAAGAAAATGGAAAATCAACTATGATATATAATGGTAACTGTAAAATAAACACAAATTTGGATACTGGCATAAAAATCACAGAGGAACTAAATTATCTAAGATCAGAAGAAGTATAATGAACAAATTTCTGAATAGAACTAATGAATATTCATATAATATTAGTTCTATTCTTTAGCTACTCACTATCATGAGCAACAAATTTAGATAGCTTGTTGTTTCTGTTATATTTGTCTTTGTGAAATAATAGAACATGTACATATGGCCTTTGCACCCATTTCCTGCTAATATTTGGCCTTTGATCCTGGTGCCTGATGCAGAGCTCCTACAACTCTTATAACCTCCTGAATGATAGGAGGGTCTGACATAGAGCTCCCTTTTGTTCTAATGAGGCGACTCTAGGTGGGCTTCGGGATGGGCACTGGTCACTAGAAAGGCTAAGCCATGATTAGAGGCTTGGAACTTTTAGCTCAACCTCCCACCCTTTGGAGACGGGAGAGAAACCAAAAAATGAGTTAATGATTGAAATGACTGATTATTGCCTATATGATGAAGCCCTCATAAAAATCATAGAGCTTCCCAGTTGGTAAACACATCCACATGGTGGCAGAGTAACACAACCCAACTCCATAGGGACAGAATCTCCTGAGCTCAGGGCTCTTTCAGACCTTGCCTCTTGTACCTCTTCTCTGGCTGTTGACTGTATCCTTTATCATATCTTTTATTATTATAACTGGTAAGTGTGATTTCCTGAGTTCTATGAACTGTGCTAGCAGATTATTGAACCTGAGGAGAAGGTGGTGGGAACCTGGATTCATAGCCAGTCAGTCAGGTGACAAACTGGAACTTGCAGTTGACATCTGAAGTGGAGAAGTCTTGTGGAACTGAGCCCTTAACCTGTGGGATGTGAAGTTGACTCCATGTAGAAAATGCCAGAACTCTGAACTGTAGGACACTCGGCTGGTGTCAGAAATAGTATGGAAATCAACACCCGCACACCACATCTGGTAATAGAAGTGTTCTCTGAGTGTGTAAAGGAAAATAGTGAGTTTTCCTAGACAGCCTTATTCATCAAAACAATTCAATTAATTTTTTTCTTTAATGGTTCTGAATCAGAGATGATTTTGTTCACAGGAAACAAATATGGGAACTATCCACAGACAAATTGGCAATGCCTGGAGACATTTTTGGTTACTGGATCTGAGTGCTTTTGAGCATATTTCAGAGATCAGCATGTACATACATTCTTAAAAGTTATAAGATCTGATGGCACTCTACGTAAATGACAAAGATATTCTTATACATGTGTATATTCGTGTGTACATATTTTTATATATTACTACACATTTGGGCTTCCATTATACAACAAAAGGAAAAGGAGTAAGCCTTTACTGGCTGAGAAATTCTGTCCATGAACCTGGTGGATATTCATAAACTCGAAAGCCAAATTTAAATATTTTTTAATCAACAAGTTTTGAAAAAAATGAATTAATATTCATCTGGTCTTTCCCACATCACTCTTCTTATTCTCTGAAAATACAGATTATTAATTAAAAAGAAGGCACAAGTCCCAAAATAAAGACAAGATTTGTCACAGGGAGTCTCTATAGCAGTGGCTTTAGACACACCTGTGTGGGAATATCAGCTATGAGGTATGTGGCCAGTAATTGTTACTAATTAGTAAAGGGCCAATGTTTTTAATGCTTAATTTTTTCTTTTTTTGTAAACAAGAAAGGATTCAACATCACTTTTGTGTATTTGCATTCACGTTTTTTCTTGAATTAAAGAAAATATTTAAGAACAAACTTGCTAGAAACAGAAATGGTCTTTATTCCAGGAAACTGTCATAAAGGTATGTGACATGACACCCACTCAGCAGAAAGTACTATTATCATTAAGATGGTAGGTAACTGGGGCTTTCTTTGCTCATTGATAAAAAGGCTAAAGTAAAAATTACATATAATTTCCTAACTTATAATCTGCTGTGAGATATATCTGAAAATTGCCATATTGACAATAATTTAAAAATACCTCTTATTTATACTTAACACTTACACTATTTAAAACAGATTGAAAGCCCAAATAAGTAAAATAAAATGTAGTAGAGAAATAATTTGCAAGATGTAATAATTATCATTAAAATCAACTTACTGGGCCCGTAACAATTGGTCTTATAGTCTGAAAACCAGGAGAAAAACAACGTAGTTCTGTCTTGGGTGAACTAGTATTTAAAAAGAACAGGAAGAGAAATAAGCATAGAGACATACAAGATTAGTAAAAACTCCCCTACTGCTTTTTAAGCCTAAAAACATTAATTGTATGTTAATTAGAAAAATAAAAAATATAACAATACTTCTTTTGTCAAAGAGATTTTGTCTTTTTTTTCACACCTATGCAATGAGAAGAAATTTACGTTCAATCACAGCCTTGAATCTGAATGTTCACACTATATGAATACATTTTTATGTGTAAATACACACATTATATTGACATTCATGGAAAAAATCTTACCTTTTATTTTTCACAGAACAAGTTCCTGGCACACTCCACTCAGAAAATGATGTTCCTTCATACTCTAACTTAATCTAAACAAGAAGGTAAGATAGTTCAAATAAAAAAAATCTGATCCAAAATTTTTATCTCAGTGTTCTGATGTAAGGCTCAATTTCCTGGGTCCTTACAATTAAAGAAAGAATAACTAAAATTTAATTCCTTTAAAACTGTACAAAGTAATGTGACAAAGGAAAAGTAACTTTTCCAAGACACTGCAGATGTCTCCCCCCAGAAACTATAAGACTCTTATTTTATTTTACTTCAAAAATAATCTACCTAGTGTCTAGCAGGTGACTGGCACTCCACTAGATTCTAAGGATGAAGAAAAATGAGTGAGACAAGATCCTTCACTTAATAACAAGTCATGGTAAATTCTAAAGTCCTAATCTTCGCATATCCCTGACTCTACCACACTAACTTCCATCAGTCACATTTTCCTTATTCCTTAATCCTTTTTTTTCCTTCTTCCACATTCTTTCATTTATAAGTTCTTTCCCCTTTTGAAGGATACTGATCCACTTTCTAACATCATTAGTCTTAGTCTCAACATTGGTCCTCTTCTTCCTTTCTTAAGGAAGCTCCAGGCCCAGCATGGAGCCCAATGTGGGGCTTGAACTCACAATCCTAAAGTCAAGACTGGAGCTGAGATCAAGAGTTGGACACTTAGCCGACTGAGCCACCAGGTGCCACTGTCTTCTTCTTAAGCCAGGTTTGGAACCCAATATCACCTTTATAGTAACAATTATGTATATACACATATGTACACATTTCATGTAAATATATATACATAAACACTTTTTCAGTGTTTTTAGTTGTAAAATGGGGATTATAATACCAGCTATCTCATAAATTTGAAATTATAGGATTAATGACAGTGTATAAGAAGAAAAAAGAGGAAATAAATCACCAGAAGATATAGCCCTGAAATATATAGAGCAAAATAAAAAATTTTTGAGTATGGTTGACATACAACATTACAATAGTTTTAGGTATACAACATTGTGATTTCACAAATTTTTATATTACGCCATATTCACCACAAATGTAGCTACCATCTGTGAAGATACATTGCTATTACAATATCATTGACTATTATCCCTTATGCTGTGTCTTTTATTCCCCTGATTTATTCATTTCATAACTGGAACACCCATTCACCCATTTTGCCCAACCCACTATCCTTTCCTCTAGCAACCATCAGTTTGTTCTCTGTATTTATGGGTCTGATTCTGCTTTTTGTTTATTCGTTTGTTATTGCTATTATTTTTTAAGGTTCCACTTGTGAGTGAAATCATATGGTATTTGTCTTTCTCAGTCTGACTTATTTCACTTAACATACCCTCTAGTTCCACCCAGGTTGTTTCAGATGGCATGATCTCATCCTTTGGTATGGCTCTGTAATATTCCTGTGTGTGTGTGTGTATTCCTTAACCATTCATCTGTTGATAAGCAATCTTATTTATCTATTCATCTATCGATAAATACTTAGGTTGCTTCTGTATCTTAGCTGTTTTCAGTAATGCGATAAACAGAGGGGTGCATTAATCTTCTTGAGTTAGTGTTTTCATTTTCTTTGGGTAAATACCCAGTAGTGGAATTATTAGATCATATTTCTATTTTTAGAAATAGTATTTAGTATTTCTATTTTTAATTTTTTTAAAGATTTATTTATTTGACAGAGAGAGAGCTTAAGCAGGGGGAAGGGCAGGAGAGAATCTTGAGCAGACTCCATTCTTTTTTTTAAATATTTATTTATTTACTTATGATAGACATAGAGAGAGAGAGAGAGAGAGAGAGAGAGAGAGAGAGAGAGAGAGAGAGGCAGAGACACAGGAGGAGGGAGAAGCAGGCTCCATGCCAGGAGCCTGACGTGGGACTCGATCCCGGGACTCCAGGATTGCGCCCTGGGCCAAAGGCAGGCGCCAAACCGCTGAGCCACCCAGGGATCCCCAAGCAGACTCCATTCTGGGCACAGAGCTCTACATGGGGCTCAATTCCATGACCCTGAAATCATGACCTAAGCCCAAACCAAGAGTCTGATGCTTAAACTGACTGAGCCACCCAGGTGCCTCTCTGTTTTTAATTTTTAAAGTAACATCTATACTGTTCTCCACAGTGACTGCACCACTTTGCATTCCCACCAACAGTGAACAAAGATTCCTTTTCTCCACATCCTCACTAACACTTGTTATTTATTGTTTTTTATTCTAGCCCTTCTGACAGGTGTGAGATGATATTCTCACTGTGGTTTCAATTTGCATTTCCCTGATGATTAATGATCTTGAACATCTTTTCATTGTCTCTGTTGGCCATCTGTATTATCTTCTTTGGAAAAATGTCTATTCTGGTCTTCTGCCTATTTTTTAACTGGATTATTTGATTATTTGTGGGGTTCTTTTGGTGTTGAATTATATAAATTCTTTATATAATTTAGATATTAACTCTTTATCGGATAGCTCATTTGCACATATCTTCTCCCATTCAGTAGCTTATCTTTTTGTTCCGTTGATAGTTTGCTTTGTGATGCAGAAGCTTTTTATTCTGATGTAGTTCTAATAGTTTATTTACACTTTTGTTTCCCTTGCCTAGGAGACATATCTAGAAAATGTTAAGGCTGATGTCAGAGAAATTACTGCCTGTGCTCTCTTCCAGGACTTTTATAGTTTCAGGTTTAATCCATTTTGAGTTTATTTTTGTGTATAGTGTGAGAAAGTGGTCCAGTTTTATTCTTTTACATATTGCTGTCCAGTTTTCTAGCACCATGTGTTGAAGAGATTGTCTTTTTTCCATTGGATATTCCAGTATCCTTTGTCAGATATTAATTGACCATGTATTCATCAGTTTATTTCTGGGCTTTCTTTTCTGTTCCATTGATCTATGGGTCTATTTTTGTGCCAGTACCATATTGTTTTGGTTGCTGCAACTTTGTAGTATATCTTGAAATCTGGGATTGTGATACCTCCATCTTTGTTCTTTCTCAACATTGTTTTGGCTATTTGGGGTCTTTAGTGGTTCTACACAAATTTTAGTATTATTTGAAAAATGCAGTTGGTATTTTAATAGGGATTGCACTGAACCTATAGATCATATAAAGCAAACTTTGATAGAAGTACCAGGAAAAAATTTCAAAGCCACAAATATAGTGGTAGATGTTTGACACACTTTTCTCAAACTACAGATAATCCTATATATAAACCTACAAAATTAGCCAATATAAAATAAAATACATTCTTTTCAATCTCACATAGAACATTTGCCAAAATTGATCATATTTACAAAAGAAGTCTTACCCAATCTCAAAGAATTATCTCACATACTATGCCTTTGATATTAATAAAATAAAATCAGAATTTCTCATAAAGTTAGCCAGAAAAAATTTTTAGGGTATTTATAATTCTTAAAACAAAAAACAACCCAAACTCTACTTCTGAATGATTTATAGGAAAAAGGAGAAATCACAATGCAAATTACAAAATATTTATAAATAAAGAATAAAAAAATTCAATGCTCTCAAAACTTGTAGTATATAGTATGTTAGTTCCTAAAATGAAATTTATAGCCTTAAATATATATATGAAAGAAATAGGGTAGTTTGAAAGTGAATAACCTTGGTTTTTAGTGTAAGATGCTAATAAAATAAGAGAAAACTGAAAAAAGTAAAAAGGAGGATACAAAAAAGAAGGGAAAAGAGGCATTTACGAAAGAAAACAAACTGGGGAGAGTTAGTGGTGATGTAGTCTTTCAATCTAGTCAAATTCCCTAGTAAGCACAACTAGGGTAGTACCAATGAAACAGACAATAAAACAGCACTGGACAAGGTCAACAATAAAACTAAGTGACAAAGTATTCCTCAAAATCCCAAAGTAAAAGTGGGCTGGAACAAACCAGCTAAAACAACCAGATTCATGGGGTATGAGCATAAGGAAGCAAAAGAAAGCAAATATGGCAGACCTTAGCAGAGAAGAATATTTAAATCAGTGATAGGCATTCATTGGAAACCATGGCAGGACATTTAGACAATAGCAACTCTAAACCAGAACAGTGGTTGTACTTTTCAATTTTTAAGTCAGTCCAAGAGATCCATAATAATATTTGAAAGGGCAAGAGAACCTGGGATCTATGAATACCAAAACAAGGACCTATAGATACCTTCTAGGACATGGTTCTGTAGTGAAAGGAAAATAATTTCAATTGAGCTGGAATGGGATAATAAAGGCAAAGAAAAGAAAAACTACAGATGAATGAGAGAAGGAAACAGAATCTGGAGATCTCAAAAAGTATTAGCCTTATTTTTGGACACTTTACAAAACAACAGAAGAGAAAGCTCTAAAGCCACGAAGTTAGAAAAGTTATTTTGACTCACCCCTCTTTAAAGATCAGGAAAATAAATTTCATGTAAAAAAAAAATAAGGCAACAGAAAAAGGATTACAGTCTAATTTCACACAGCTATTATACAAAAAAGAAAATACAAAGCAGAATAACAATCTCTGTAAGAACATACCTAATAAGTAAATGAAAGCTACAACTTAATATGTGGGTTTGTCTTACATATCAACTTGGCTAGATTACAGCACCCAGTTATTTAATCAAACATAGGTTTTGCTGTGAGGATATTCTATAGATGTGGTTTACATCTACAATCAGTTGAATTTAAGTAAAAGAGAATACCTTTGATAATGCGGATGGGGTCTCTTCCATCAGTTGGAAGTGCTTGGAAAAAAACGGAGGTTTCCTAGAAAATAAATTCTGCTTCAAGACTGCCGCATTAACTCTTGCCTGAATTTCTACTCTGCTGGCCTGACCTAAAGATTTCAGAGTTGCCTATTCCCACAATTATATAAATCAATTTCCTAAAATAAATCTCATATATATATATGTATAAATTCTATTGGTTCTGTTTCTCTGTGAGAACACTGGCTGACACACCTACTATCTTGAAATGAGGCAAAATAAATAAGAGAATGATAGAAGTTATGAAAGAAAAATATAAATCAGAATTTCAAACTCATAAGTAAGCTAGAACTCCAGAAA